ATGTAAATACAATAATAATTAAACCAAGATTTATAATAATTATCATTTTGATCCATACATTGGTAATGTCTGACTGGGTCTTGTGTCACTTTATGTTCAATAAATTGGGCCCTGAGGTCAAAAAGGTGAAGACCCCCTGGATTAAAGCATTAATTCATTATATTTTGACAAAATTAAATTTTAAATCTGCCTGTTTCTCTACTTTTGGACTTAGTCCTGGTTTCGATGCGAGGCTCACTAATGACTGGATGCATCATTAAAGCGTTCTGATCTGACATCAGGAACAACAAACCCGACCACCTCACAGACAGGAAGTTCTCACCCTGTGGGCGTCTCGGTGCGGCTGGTGGCCCAGCTGACACAGCGCCGCCATCACGTCCCCCAGGTGTCTCGTGAACACCAGCATGGCCACAGACGACAGCTCCGCCAGCTGCAGCAGGACTCGAGTCGTGATCAGGAGGCGGCGTTCCACTGGAGGCCACGCCTCCTTGTTGACCAGTGTTTCCACCACGGCGCCGAACGCTGACCTGCGGCCCAGCGGCACCCCCACCCCCGGGGCCAGGTAAGGACAGAGTCCAAGAGAAACCACAAACTGGAGGGCCGCTGCAAGCGTCTTCTGCTGAGACACGCTGAGGACGTCGGGAGGCAGAGGCGGAGCCATCTCCGAGGTGTGAAGTCTTCCTGCAGAGGGGGGCGGAGCCTGCTGGAAGCGCTCCAGTTCCACCGTCAGGTGTCGTGTGAGGGTGAGGAGAAGAAGAAGACACTCCTGGACAAAGCTCCACGTGACGTCTTCTGTCTCATCACAGAACCAGTCCGCCGCCAGCTTCACCTCCTCCCTCCTCTTCCTCACCTCCTCCAGGCTGCCGTCGCTCTGAAGCTGCAGCTGGAGGCGGGACTTGTTGGAGCCCAGAGCGGCCCGAAGAGCCTCCTGCTGCGAGGACTGAGCAGCAGCTTCTACTGACAGAAACACACACAGCATCACTCTGCAGGTCCACAACCGTCCCAGAGTTCTGCTGGACTCCAGTGAAGGGTCCAAATGATTCGTTCAAATGATTGGTTCAAATGAGTCGTTCAAATGAGTCATTCAAATGTTTCGTTCAAATGATTCATTCAAATGATTCATTCAAATGATTCATTCAAATGATTCATTCAAATGACTCGTTCAAATGATTCATTCGAATGATTCATTCGAATGATTCATTCAAATGATTCGTTCAAATGATTCGTTCCAATGATTCGTTCCAATGATTCGTTCAAATGATTCATTCAAATGATTCGTTCAAATGATTCGTTCAAATGATTCGTTCAAATGATTCATTCAAATGATTCATTTAAATGATTCGAATCATGTTTCAACAAAGAACTCCTCCAGAGGACCTTCTTTACAACATGTTTTAGATTTGTCAACCTGGATTATTGAGACACATCAGGATATTAAAGTCAGTATTTTATACAGTTGACACAATGAACTTAAAATAATATAATGAAGTGCTTCTTTTAAGCATATTAGAATTTTTTTTTGATTCATGTTAATTTCCCTTTGGGATCAATAAGTGTTTTTGAATTGATGTTAAGGAAACACCAAACATGAAAAAAAGATGTCAAGAATTGAATCAATCTAAAGTGAGTTCACCCTGAAGGTGAAGATGTTTACCCAGAATGCACTGCAGCAAATACAAACACATTTTACTGTAAGGTATGTATAAAAAAACTGCTGTAATTTAACTTTAGATCATGTAATAAAAGGCTAACTGCAATAAAGTTAAGAACATTTATTTAAAACAAAGTGTCTCATTATAGAAGAACACAAATATACCTTAAAATATTTTAATTATTCTATTTAAACCAATAAAGTTTATTTTACACTAGTCTGTTAAAACTGAATTGTTAAGAATAAGATCCACTCTACATGTTTGACATGATTTAAAGCTAAGAAGTGTTGTGTTATATTAGCAGAGTTAGCTTGACGCTCTGGTTAAAAACTTACCGCCAAACGGTTTGATGAGGATATTTATCAGCGACAGAATCTCAGAAGTCATTTCTCAAACTTAACTTTTCATCAGTAGTCTGATAAAACTCCCAGCGGTTGTAGTTTGATTTTTGTGTGTAAAAATAACGCGTTTAAGCGAACAGGAGCACGACTCACGAGCTAAAAACACAAAACTGACGCTGATTCTACGTCATCACGCAGCGCTGCTCTGACAGGACGTGATTGGCTACTTGGCTCGTTGCGTTCAATGAGCCTCTGAAACTGTCGTAATTTGTAGAGATTGTCGATACTCTGTAATAATAAACACACAATGTGTCTGGTAAATCTTAAAAAGTAGCGTTTTTCAAGTAACCGCTTTAAAATAATACATAACATAGTAATTTATTGTCTTTCTAACCCTATATTCGTTTAGCACAATTTAAAGTTCTTATTCTAAAGAAAAATAATTTTTGAACAGTGAATAAAAGTGAGAAAAAACATAAAAGTTATTTTGTATATTTTGTAGCATTGCTTGTGGGTTTGAGGTCCCTGGTCAGAACTAATGCTGTTTGGGAACCCCTCACCTAGAATTTAATTACAGTCAGACGAAGCAGATTTTATGTTAAAATGACCTGCCATACCTCAGACTCAGTGACTGACTCAGCATTACCAAGAGGAAGGAAAAGTAGCTCCCTCCAACCACATATGATTAAGACAAGATTGGAATAGTTTAATATTTTCCTTTATTTTCCTCTACATTATGTGAAATAACTAAAATAGATTTTTTTTTTATTTTAGCATAGATTCTACAGCATTAAGTTCTGGTGTGTATCGATATTTCAGTATCGATCTGCACATCACTAGTAATTTGGTAAACGATGCTTTGTGGCTACTAAAGGACAAATATGATACGAACAAACCCAAAACAAAAGATTGAGACTCAGATTTGTTGTATTTTTTCAAGGGAAAAAAATTAAAGTTTTAATTACATTTCGTCTAAACTGTGACAGAACAGTTTGTTTCATAAAAACAAAGGTTATATAATATGTCATACAAGCATTACTGCATTCCTTTTTCCTTTCGGTGTGGTGATTTAAATGAACAAAAATGAAAATAACTAAATAAACAAAGTGAAAAGTTGTGACAGGAAGTTGTTGCTTCAGGCTCAGTTTGATGCCTGAAGCAGTCGTTTCGGGGTGAATCTGACCCGAGTCAGCACCTTCTTGCCTCGATGGTAGTCTGAGTGGGAGTCAAGAACAAAGACCGGCTGCAGACCCAACATGTCAGTGAAGAAGGGCTGCTGCTCCTCCTCTTCATCACCAGGACCAAAGCTCCAGCTGTCCTCTGGAAACTGCAGGTCACCAGGGTTTGAAAACGCACTCACTGGAACCTCAGGGTTGACCTGCTTGGCCCAAAGAGGAGGGTCCCCACTAACAGCAGCCATGTTGGTTCTGTAAAGTCCTGGATATCTAGAACCACGAGCCTCCTCTGAGGCTTCTCCAAGACCCGGCTCAGCTGGATCCTCTCCAAAGAGAAACCATGAAGGATGATACGACCAAACACTGGTTCTCCAGTCGTCTGACCCACCTACAGATAAAATAAAAATAAATAAATCTAAAGTGCATCAGGGTTCAGCTTTTAGAGCTCAGATCAAACTGTTCTGGTTTTTACCTTCAGCTCTGGGAGGAAAGCAGCTGCTGCTCCCAACCAGCAGAACAATCAACATCCTGAACACAGAAAAACTAACTTTTATTTAAATGTCTGTTTTATTCAGTTTTACTCCTCAAACTTTACTTACATCATTCTGGAGGTCCTGTGGAAACACTTTGGTCCTTCCTGTAGCAACGATTAAAGAAACAAACCCTCAGCTGAAAACAGCTGATTGTTCAGTGACAACACCTGCTGCCCACCTCTTCATCATCATCATCATCATCATCATCTTCTTCTTTTAGGTGCACACCACCACCTACTGTGCATGAGTGTGTAATCTCATGGCTCCACCTGAATCCTATATTTTAATTTTGTATTATGTAAAAATAAAAACAATGCTTTCCTTATTTTATCGATTTTCTCCTTATTCCCTTCTGTTCCAACATCCCTTTAAACTCCACTCTTTCCCTACCTCTCTGACTGTTCCCCTCATCCTCTCTCTCTCAGCGGTGTGTTTTGTACACGTCATCAGGACCTGTTCCACATTTTCTTTCTCTCCACAACTCTCACAATTATCACCATTACTTTTTCCTATTAAAAATAAAAAGTCATTTAAATAAGAAAGCCCCACTCTTAGTC